CAAGCTCAACATCATTGGAGCCTTGCAGAATGACAGACTTCTTCAGGTTGCCAGTCTCCTCATCCATGTATGCAATGCTGTTCTTGCAATGGTAGGTGATGTTCTGAGAGGCATGGTTGGCCAGCAGGCGCATGAAGGCAAGTTGGGTAGCCATTTCCTTGGTCGTTACTCCTTCAACATTATATTCAAACTACAGAGAATAAGATGGGAATTCCAGTTAAGTGGAAGAGGACTCAGATACTAAGAGTCAAATTAAAAAAAATAAATAAAAGCCTGGTATAGGGAGAAATAATGGACTCATATCTGAACCTTATAGGCAGAAGGTACTTTTAAAGGAAACAGAATTCACTTGTCTTTGAAGTATTAGTTACTTAGAAGGGACATAGGAATGACCAGGCTGAGGCAAGGTCATCTCAAAAAGGTAATTCTTTCAGATAAGCCTTTTTGTGGATGTTTCAGCTTTAGAATAAGAGAGCAAGGAGATGAGATCTGAACCTCTTTCCTTTTCAATAATATCCATCAGTAGGGATTCAATAAAGTTGGTGACAAGATTTGATTAAAAATTCAGAACAGTTCATGATCTGAAAATACGTATGCACGGGTACGGGGTTATATGCTGGCTGGTACTCCTTTACACTAAATGGCATTAGTCATTTTCTTCAGTGAGTATTAGTTAAGTCAAATTAGAATAATAGCTTTGAATTGTATTGCTGTGTCCAATCAATCCATCTTTAATGTGCAATCCAGGACAGAACTAGAACTCAAGGAAAGAGCGTGTTCTTTTCATAAGACCATTTTGGTAAAGGATTAAAATACAAGAGAATGAAAAAAGCAAACAATCCTAACAAAATATTGTTCAGTGAAAGGAAAGGGATGTTTGTAGGGTTCCTCACCTGGGTACCACCGTTGATAGTTTCTCCTAACCAGATGTGCTTCTTGGCCTTGGAGCTTTTGTACCAGTTCTTGGCTGGGATGTTTTCAGGCTGAGCCTGGATGCAGGTTTCGCCAGTGGAGAAATCACAGTACACTTTGATAGCATCCATCGTGCATCCTTGGTTAGGGTCAATCCAGTAGTAACCTTTTAGGAAAGCAAGACCCACATCATCAAACTTCTCACTGAGTGGAGCATAGGTTCTAATAATTACTAGTCAAAGATTTTGATTCTCATAAGTAACATTTTGATTGTACGGTTAAATTGTGTACCCCACATTTAACAGGAAGATGGTAGCTATTTTCAAGATTAGACAGTTCCTCCTCCTCTCTTCTCAATGAAACATCAAATCAGGATACATATTACTATGAAAAGAGGAGCTTGAGAATTGGTAATGGCTGGGGGAAAAACGTGCTTCATTAATTGAGTATGATTTCACCGAATACACTTTTTACCCAAATACCTTTCATTCTAAATGTCTGTGGAAACTGATTTTGAAAAGCCCGACTTGTGAGGCAGCTCAGGCTGACTTGGACATCTTGACTTACCGCTGCTCCATTCTCTGTGGCTGAGTCTCAAGTCACGGCATGTGCGAGCTGGGTTCTTCCTAGAGCCTTCGGGAGTGAGAAGGGTCTCAATCTGGTTGTTGAGAGATTTCAGAGTAGCATCAACTTCATAATCCTTGGGTCTGAGAGAAGGCGGTGAACGAGGCTGGTCAGCCCTGTAGAAGTCTCCATCAAAACCAAAGTCATAACCACCGCCGCTGATGCCGGGAGGCCCAGGGGGACCAGGGGGACCAGCGGGGCCCTGCAAATGTGAAAGTGAGAAAGAAGAGGCTTTGTATTTGGTGACAGTGAGAGACATCAGTGACAGCAGGATTTCAGATGGGCATCATACAAAAGCATGTTCTAATAAGTAGAAAAGAATCAAGCTCGTGTAAGTAAACAACTTGCTCCCAGGCATACTTGCAGGGATGGGCTTAAACAGCTCATTATATACAAGCTATTTTTACATATTTTAGAGAATATATGAAAGTAAGGGACCCCTTTAATGTGTTGATATCATACATTTGGTTTAGTCTGAAGAAAACATTCCTTAGGTGACTGATACCCTTTATTCTTTTCCCAAATAGTACTTACGGCAGGACCTTGGCTGCCCTGAGTGCCACGAATACCAGCAGGTCCGACTGTACCAGGATGTCCAGTGCGACCATCTTTGCCAGCGGGGCCGGAAGGACCAGCAGGGCCCTAGGGAAGAAGGATACCAAGTCTCCGTGAGCCAGTGAAAACCCCACAAGAGAGCCGAGGCATGGGGCTCAATGCCCGGCATCGGCTGTATTTCAGAGATAAATGTTTCTTAGATTGACCTACCCTAGGACCAGCGGGACCCACAGTGCCAGGAGCACCTTGATCGCCATGATGACCCTTTAAAGAAAGGACAGGAGAAATCACATTTTCAGAACATGTGTTGATAAATAGATTTTTAAAAAATTGAATGGAAAACTTTAGTTTCAATGAACTCTGGATTGAGAAAATTGAAAATGTAAAATGGGGCTCTTTTCTCCCATTATGTCTATTATATTCAATTATTTTTTTTCCTACAAGCTATTTCAGCCGTGCAATATTAGTCATTCCTCTAATTATATTTATTTTAAGTGGGGTTGAAGGACATTGTTGCCAGGAGATTTTAATATATCTCCCTTAACCCTCACCTTTTCATGTTGGGATGAAATAGCATTATCTCCGAGAGATGGAGTTAGCCAGAGAATGGGAAATGAATATGATGTAGGGCATTTTAGAACAATCACAGTGAAACTTTGAGGAAGATCATTCTGAGTTGAAGGCCTTTAAGATCTGCATATGTGCTAGATGTCCACATTTTACTTACAGCAAGACCCGGAAGACCTTGCAATCCGTTGTGTCCCTTTAAGCCAGGCAGACCTCTGGGCCCCTTATCACCAGGTTCCCCCTTATCACCTCTAATACCTTGTGGGCCCTGTAAAGAAAGAGAAAAGAGAAGGACCGATAAAACATTTACCTTTTGTTTCTTTTTTTAAATGACACTCACTTCTCAACAAATATTGTTTAATCTGTTTACAAACGAAATCAAGACATGTAAAGGTGTAAAAGCCATGTGGAAGCTACTCCTATCTCTTAATGTGCATTACTTGAACTGTATGTAAAGTTCGCTAGATTTTTATAATTATTTAATACAAACAGAGGATTTGAAGTAGAAGAGATTTAAAAGCTATTTGTAGCAATTCTCAACATGGACTACATTTTTTAAAAATATATAAAATCTAGCCTATATATTATTTATTTTTTTAATGGACTGTCTGGACTGATCCTAGGTGTTAATTTGTAAAGAAATCTTCACCATGTACATACACTAGGACCTCTTAGACCAACGGGACCGGTAGGACCAACAGAACCAGCAGGACCCTGTGGATTGGAAAAGAAAAACATAAGTCAAAAAACAGTAAATCTTCAAGTCTTCAGCCAGGCCTCAGATCGCCCTCCCCAGACCCCAGTGAGCAAGTATGGGGAGGTGAGAAGGAAGCCTGTGAGGATGAAAGCATTAAGGGACTGATGATATTTACAACTTACAGGTTCACCACGGTTTCCATGTTTGCCAGTGGGACCCACGGGGCCATGAGAACCAGGTGCACCCACAGTTCCAACAGGACCAGCATTGCCAGGGTAACCACGGTCTCCCTACAAGAGGCAAAATGAAGCTTAGCAACAATCTGGCCTGCATTTTCATCACTGTTAAATCAGAAAAACATGAAGGTGTACACCAACCTTGTGTCCAGGTTGACCATCACGGCCTGGGGGACCGTCATTCCCAGGGTTGCCCTGTGAAGACATGACGCCAACAAAGGCAGTTAGTGAGGCTCTGTAGCCCATCAGCCCGGATAGCCCAGCTGCTCTGCCTTTATCACTGCCAGGGTTCAATAGTGAACTCCCTTTTAGAATGTTAAAAATAAGAACATGAACTTAACAACCTTGCTATTTTTAGAGGTGTTTTTAATATTTTGGAAGTATGCTATTTAAAGACCCAATCCCCAGCCCAGTAACTTTTCATATTTTCAATGCTATGAGTGGTCAGTATATGTAGCTATTATGATGAAACAGACATCTTGTTTAGAAACTTTAAACAAGTGAGCCTCAGCTCAGGATCTAAAATTGCACACAGTGAAACACTGTGAGGCTTTACTTTACAAACCAAGTGCTGGACTCACATCACGACCGGCTTCGCCAGGAGCTCCGTTGACTCCAGGATTACCCACATTACCAGGGGGACCACGGGCCCCGGGTGGCCCTGAAATGCCAAGAGGACCAGGCTCACCCTAAAAAGGCAGAGAAGACAAAACAACATTCCTCTCATTGATCTGAGTGCCAACCCCACCCTCCTAAAACAACCCTAGCCAGATTACAGTGTGAAGAAGGAAGGTAAATTGAAAGTGACTAGGCCACAAAATGGTAAGACGTGTCATTACTGTCATCCTTGCCCTCCTCCTACAGACTTAGGATGGTCAGTTTTATGTAGCTTTGAAATGTTGCTCTGTATAAGGTAAGCCTACTTTCATCTGAGAGCCTGAATGAAATGAATTCCTAAAGTTGAGAGAATTTATGGAGATGAGATGGTTCTTAGTTGCTGTCACGTATAAGGTTTAATGGAATGATTCAGAACTTCCAGTTTCATTCTTCCTACAGGATAAATGATGCCAGCATTTCACATTGCAGAGGAGTAAACGCAATTAGAGCTTATATCATTCTTAAACATGTAAAAAGAACAAAAATCATTCTGCATAATGTTAAGCTGTGTCTTTATTGCATGTGTCTAAGTAAGGTGGTATTAAAGCTTCTTAAATAAGTGACATGTGATCTGTATAAAGAAAATGCCATGAATAAAAAATCTTAAGTGGAGTTATTCAGTGATCAATCTGTCACATTTGAAGTGGCAGCTTTTAAAATCTTTTATTATGTTAATGAGCATAAGAATGGTGTCAAACACTCACCACAGATCCAGAGACACCTGGCAGACCGCGTTCACCTCTAGAGCCTGGGAGACCCAGAATACCAGGAGCACCAAGAAGACCCTGAGGACCTGGGGTGCCAGGAGGTCCCTGAACAAGATGAAAAACGCTGAGTGTTACTGGTAAGGCAACAGGTGATCACCTAGGTTGGCTTGAGGGTTGTGAAAATGAGCTGTCCTCAGCTTAAAAAAAGATCCCCTATTAGCAGGACATATCCTTGGATATCTTTTCTCTAGTGATGACAATAAGTTTCCATTTGGGCACATATATATTTCTTTGTACCTGGTTGCTCCTTGAGACCAATGGAACAACATTAAAAAAATATGTGGTTGAGGTTAACAAAGCCATCTGGGGTGATGGAACAGAGTTTTTATAGAATCTGTGCCAGGAAGAAAAATTTTGACCGTACCCTCTAATTGAACCAGGTCTAGTAAAGGCAATTTCAGAGTAGCAATGACACTGGACAATGCATATTTAAATAATTGGTAGCTTCCTGACAGCGATTAATGTACAGTAGGATGACCACGGCGATGGGATTCTGTTAATCCCAGTACCAGTAAGGTGCCCTCAACAGTTTAAAAGGCTGTTTTGATAAAACAATGCATTTTCTCATTTATTGTCATCCCCCATCTAGTGCCTTTTGAGCATCTGCTGAAGCTATGACACTTTAATGTCTTTTGGACAGATTTCCTGGCTCGATTGAGCTCTACATGAGAACCTGCAATACTCATCAACAAATATAGACCATTTGAAGATTTGTGTAAGGGCTTTATTTTTAATTCAACACAAAGTAGTAAGAAAAAAGAGTTTGAGATGACTTACAGCAGTACCAGGTTCTCCAGAGGGACCCTTCTCGCCAGTAAAGCCAGGGGGACCACCTGCACCTGTTTCTCCAGTTCGGCCAACTGGACCTTGGTCACCACGAGGCCCACGAACTCCTTCTTTACCAGCAGCACCAGTGGGACCAGGAGGGCCAGTGATACCCTGTGGGCAAATGTACAAGGTCATTTACTTTCTATTAATCATCACAGACCTGGAAGAGGGCAGCTGAGGTTCTAGATGTTAAAATACAGTGTGAGGCAACAAAATAACATCCTGGCCTTGGGGAGGAAATGTTTAGACTTTTTAACATTCTTGTAGGAAGAATAAACTCCTACAAGAAAGTCAACTGAGGCAGAAGCTATGTCAAATGTCTGTGAGGACAAGCAATGGTGTGACACCAGTAACCTGGCATATTGGATCTATGTATAGTTATAAGAGTTAGTTGTAAATGAATGGGACTCTGGATTTTGGAGGACTTCTACTCATTTCTTTTTGAAGAAAGACAATACTGGCACTTTGTTCATAAATGAGGAATCACATATGCTCTCAAGTAGCTTTAATTAAATGCCTACAGGCAACGATGATTTTTCTGTTATGAACCTGTAAAAGGGTTCCAAGAAATCAACATCTTTGCTATTTTTTTCCCCTGAAACCTTAACTGGAAGACTTAATCCTTGGTAATTAATTAAATTCTCTTGAGTCCTTACAGGAGAGACTGAAGCAGAATTAAATTAGAGGCCAAACCACCTTGAAATTCAGGAACAATTACACTTTAACAACGGAGGCAGAATGTTGGTCATAAAGGGTAATTAGATATAGAAATATCTGATATGTGACTAAAATTGTGGGGGTTTTTTTATTAGCAAAGAGATCATGCCCCTAAAAGGGGACTTCTGTTCACATGAATAAAATCCTCTTAAACTGATATTATAAAATATAATTTGTGATGATTTTGCCTTAATGATTCAGAAAAAGTGATATCAGACCAGGAAAGTAATAGCTAAATATTAGTAGCATGTTTTCATAGAGAGTTTCTTACCAGTTTCCTACTAAAAGCCAAGTCCTTTGGCTAGAGTAAATAAAGACATATTTTGAAGTGATTTACTTACAGCGGGTCCAGGAGGACCAGTACGTCCAGCAGCACCGGGGAAACCAGTAGCACCCTAAGAACGAAGCACATTAAAATTCTACAGTCAACACCAACTTCAGGGATTTGGGTAAAATGGAAATTTCTCTTCTGGCAAATCCTTTATACAGGTTACCAGGGATGGACCAAGGAGTAGGTAGTGGCAGTCTCATATAGGGTACTATTTAACCAGAACCCCTAAGATCCTTCATCTCTACACATCTTCCTGACCAGCATGTCCCCGTTTGCCACACCCATATATTGAATTAAGGCTCCGATGGTCCTTTTTGAAATGTTAACATGTTACCTGATTGTTGTAAGAGCAAGAAGATAAGACACTAGGCCATTATTACACGTGGATGTGTATATACTAATAACTGTCTTAACCACCTGGATGGGTGCTAAGGGAATGGACACTGAATAAGTCATTTTGTTTACAGGGGAAGCTACAACAAAAGACCAAGAGTATTCACTGCTGTCCAGTGAGAGAAAAAAAGAGTTGATAGAGTTCATTCCTGGGGAGCTCTGGGCCTCTAGGGAGTCAGTGCGATGCACTGGATGCCAAGGGCAGAGTCTTGCCTGCAGAAGAAGGGGGGCATCAACAAAAGAATAAGGGGTACCCATTTCACAAACTACCTAGGGTTAATTTTGGTTATTATCTCAGGTGAGGTGGTAGCAGCACACACGGCACTGAGTTCCAGCTGGAAATAAGTTAACATCCCATGAACCTGTCCTTAACTTCATTTTCAGAATTTCTCTGAATAGAGTTAATTTGAATCCCAAGCGTCTTATTATAGGTCAAGTTTTCTAAAAATTTCCAAACTTCCAAGTTGTCCCTAATAGATTTTGAAGAAAGACACGTTATCAGAATCCATTTTAAATACTCACAGGTGGGCCGCCATCACCACGACCTCCAGCAGGACCAGAGGGACCAGTTGGACCCTAAATGGAAACAAAAAAAAATGGGGTCAAACCACAAGACCATTCTTACAAATGTTACTCTTTTCTTCCCATGCCTGTTAGAAGCAAATCCAGAAATTAAAAATGATTAATTGTGTCATATAAAATAAATGTTCTTACTTCAATATTACCACCCTATGGTATTATCAAAGAAGTAAGATAATATATATGAGACTTTTATGAATTGTAAAGCAGTATGCAAGTGTTTATTCTTTTATTTTTTTAAAGGTTTGATTGGCTTTATTGAATGATTCCTCAATCGGGCAGCATCCCACCTAGCAAGCAGAAAGGAGCTCCCTATTCTTACTTTTAAAATCATCTTCTATCTAGTATATTCCCTGTAGTAGGCACTTGATTGATGTATGCGGAATTATAAGATTTCATGGGCAACTCTACAGGCTGTGTTGACCACCAGTGAATTCAACTTACAGATGGGCCAGCAGATCCAACGGGGCCTGAGGGACCAACAGGACCATTTTCACCCTTGGGCCCTTTGGTTCCTCTCTCTCCTTTAGCACCAGGTTGACCAGCAGCACCCTGTTGGAAAGGAACAGTTCTATAGTTCAGGTCTTCCAGTTCACTCTACTTGCCAACTTGGGATGTTTTCCAATTAATCTGCAGTATATGATACTCACAGCAGGACCAGCGAATCCATTGGGGCCAGCGGCACCAACCTCACCACGTTCACCCTAGGTGGGAGAAGGGATTCAACAATGTCTAAGCAATCATAGATTCACCAATGCCTTTATGTCATGAGTATCCACAATGACCCAGGTTTCTACTTACAGGGCTACCACGAGGACCAGCAGGACCAGCAGGACCAGCAGAACCAGCTTCGCCCTATGATGGGACCAGAGATCAGGGTGTTAATGTGCCTTGCGCAGACGTTCACAGAGGTGGAAGGGAGAGTGGACAGTGGTGGTGAGTTGGGCCCTTGTCAAGGTTTGCAGGTGCATTGGAAGCGATAACCAATGCACATCTCACAGAGGAAAGTGAAGTGGATTCTGGCTCTGCTTAATGTTGTATTCATTTTAAGGGTTGAAGTGGTATTGGTCATACACTTGCAAAAACACTATAAATCAGTGCCCACAATACCAGGAGGACATTTTAATTTTTAGATGAACACAGGGCTGATGTATTTGCTGCAATCTGTGCAATACAATAAATAAGGTCTATTTTAAGTGGACTGTTCGATGTGAAATGGGTGTACTATGTATTTTATTGATTTTTTTTGTACAATTGAAGGCTTTGAGAAGGCTCAATGCATTAGGATATTGTTAATGGGTAACAGAGAAAGACTATAAAACAAATGATAGAGATTAAAGTATAGATCAGATAGCTGGCACATCTATGGGAAGTGAGAGAGAACTTGAAACACACAGCATTTGTTTCCCGCTGCCCCATCACAATAGAGAGGCTTTTCAATAAGTGGGCTTTAAAGCAAGCCATCACAATGAATTGCTGGGGATCTGGGGGGACTAAGGCAGGAAGGACATTTTAGATACTGCCCCATTGGCTCAGAGAGTTGCAGCTCAGTGAAAATGCATGCTTACCCGATCACCAGTGGCTCCAGCAGGACCAGGGGCACCCATGGCACCAGGAGCACCCTAGGACCCACAAGGAAATAAGTCTTACTAATAATACTCCCATACCATGACCAATGACCCTTGCCACTCCCCCTTGCTGTGCTCACACAGCAATTGAACACTTTCACCACACACTCTGGGTAGACAACAAGAAATCTCTGATGCATTTCAGTTCTAATTACCAAGGCTACGAGAAGCTGCTCTCAGGAGGAGAGTAGCCCAGTGATAAAGGTTATGGAAATGTGTAAGTCAAAAGCAGGTTAGGAATTAGGGAGATCTAAGCTCCCTGCTCTTGTAAAATTCTCTGGAGAGCAGCAAATGAGCAGCCTTGTGTGGAACAGTTAGGGCTGTGATTCAGAGAGGGGCCTATTCAGGACGTGCACAGCGAGTTGTCAGCTCTGAGGGAGAGCCGTGATGCCAACACTCTAGGTAGAGTGATTAGACCAGCGGTCCTCAACCTTCCTAATGCCACGACCGCGTAATACAGTTCCTCATGTTGTGGTGACCCCCAACCATAAAATTATTTTCATTGTTACTCTATAACTGTAATTTTGCTACTGTTATGAATCGTAATGTAAATATCTTTTTGTTTTCTGATGGTCTTAGGCGACCCCTGTGAAAAGGTCATTCAACCCCCAAAGGGGTCACGACCCACAGTTGAGAACCACTGGATTAGACCTTTATGGGATTATCTTTGGCATCTCCATGGCATTAACAGCAAATCTTTGGGGCTGCTCTTTGAGTGATAAGTTCTTCAGACATACATTTGAATAAACAAGACCTTGTTAGAGGTTCTGGCTTCTTAAAAATATAAGAGTTATTGTTTTTCTTTTTTTCCTAAAGCCTTACAATAACATCAACAATGCTTTAAAGTTCCACTAACCCTAGCGTTTTGGGCTTGTAGTTTGTACTTGGTATAGTTAGCAGTAAGGAAGGTAGAGAATCCAGGCTAGATTTTCAAAGGGTAAATCCTGTTGAGCGTTTCTTTTGGAACATGTAAAATGATATTATTAGACACAGATCCGAGAAGGAATGGAATACTCTCTTATTAAACTTGAATCCTTCTTTAGTCAGCTCTATTTCAGAAAGCTTCTCAACTCAAATTGAGTGAGATGTAAAAGAAAGATAACCTATGTGCAAGCAAACAAACAAAATTTTACTTACACGAGCACCGTCTCTGCCTGTGGTACCAGCTTCACCTCTGAGGCCAGTTTCACCCTGAAAACATAAACCAGGAGCAACTTTTTGTTTTCTGACCCAATTTTTGAACCCAAATTAACCTGGAGTATTTTTACAGAAGATGCTATTATGCCTCAGTCATTTAAAATCTTTAGTGACACCTCAATTCCCTACCATTCTATAGGATGTTGAATGAGGAAAAGAAAGGAAAAATTATCAAGGCCCTTTCCAGATGACTGTGAAATATTCTTTTTTAATTTCCACGACCCTCCTGAAGCATAATCAAGCAAGGTGCAAATTCATGGGTACCGAATCACAAGGCGACATCACAATGGCTTCAGTGCCCGATCACTCTTGTGGCATAAGTAAAGCAACAGCATGGTTGACAGCTGTTCAATATAGCTTCTTGCCATTAATTAGGGCAGGATGAGGCATTACTGTTGGTGGCATTAAAATGAGCCTCATGTATTACTCAACACCATCTGTTGGCATGCAATTCCATGGTAGCAAGGAACTTTGCTAGATTAGTGAGTTTAGAAATGCGTAGGTGCTGGGTGGCAGAGAGAAATATATATCGGTAGATATCAAAATGCTACTCGACCACCTGCCCAGAATGGTGAAAAATCGAGCACCCTTGTGCAGGAGCCGTCTTGTTAGAGCTCACCAGCAACAGGTATTAAGATCCAACACGGAGAGAGGGTACCTTTTCTCCCTTGCCTCCAGGTATGCCAGCAGCACCCCGCTCTCCTGGGAGCCCACCGGAACCAGATGCACCGGCAGTGCCGGGAGCACCCATAGCGCCAGGTTCACCCTTAAATCAAACACATGGGAAATCAATTATTTCAGTGACAAAAGAAGAAAATGAAAGCTCCAACTCTTGAAGGATTCCAATTTAAACATTGAATAGATAGCATTCTTGCCTACTTAGAGACACAAAGGAGGGCTGTTGAAAGCAGGGAGACTGGAACAGAGGCAGATGCTGTTATGACGTGGTGACTAAAGAGAAGAGGGTAATGGGAGTGAGCGGCTGGGATTTTTCTATAACCTGCTCCCAGTCCTCTTAAGGAAGTCAGGCATGGAGAAGAAGAGGATAGGACAATGGCAGGCAGAGAGTGAAAAATACTAGCCCACACACTCATTCTTCAAGGATACATCTCTTAGCCCAGACACTGAAGACGGAAAGAGACCTCATCAATGGAGGAGATGTTTACATTGTAGTCTCCTTAAGAATGGAGACTATAGCCTCCATTTTTATACAAAGCTTTACAATTCTACATACTTAAAACCTGTTGACTAGTTTCTGAGATGAAACTCTTTGAAAGTCCTACCTCACAGAACCATATTTCTTCTCTTATTTCCTTTCTCTCTCTTACTTTCATTTTATTTTTTCCCAATATCCTTCCATATACCAAAGTAGCTTTTTGCATCTAATCTTTACATTTTTTTTCATTAAAGATAAAAATCAGAAGTACTGTGAGTTGCTTCCTCTTTATTGTGGTTAAACTAATTCCACCCATTTAAAAATCTAAACCACAGATTCTATTTTGAAACAAATTTTCAGGCTTATGTTTTTGGGGTGAGTGTACTGTCCAGTTAATTTTTATCATCATAAATTTCCTTATTAAAAATTTAGACAACTTTTTGAAATTTTATTCTGTGAAGTAGGATGTTAAGAAGATAAAAGTTTGCTCTCTGAAAATAGTGTCCAAATGTATATGACACTTCTAGATTAAAACAGAAGTATAAACAGTGTTATGAGTAAAGAGTGAAAACTCATACTGATTCATTGATGTGTATACAACACTAGCTTTCCCTTCTTTTGGAAGAATTCAGGTCCCCTGTAATCAGATTATAATTCACTGAGATGGAAATCATTACAGATCTAAAAATAAATAAAACATCTGAAAAACAATTCATTTACTATTGTAAAGGATCTACTTATTCTAGAGTATATTGGGCCAAACCAGCAGTATATAACATACAATTTTACCTTGTTTCCATCAGGCCCTGGGGGTCCAGAAGGACCTCGGCTTCCAATAGGGCCAGAAGGACCAACAGCACCGCTTTCACCTGGGGGACCACGCTCCCCCTGTAAGAAAGGGATTAGAAGAAGTATTGCATTGTTCATCATTTTCAAATTTACACATTAGAGCTCACACTGGTTTAGCGTTTGAATCCTAGTTCTGCCATTTATTAGCAAATTATCATTATTGTTCCTTAATTTCTCTACTAGTGAAATGAAGGGATAGGATGAAATGATCTCTAAAGTCTCATTCGGCTCTCATGTTCTGTGGCTACCACTCCAAACTGTGTTGCTCTTACAGTATAATATTCTGCTTTTGGAATTCATTTTTTGCTTGTTTGCTTACTTGTTTTGGGGTGTGTGTGTGTGTGTGTGTGTGTGTGTGTGTGTGTGTGTGAGTGATAGATCTATAGGTAAAAAGAGATGCCAGTTATGCGTAGTATTCAAAGGGAAACATTGTGCCATTTTAGGTCAATAGCAATGCCAGGTGTAGATAAGATTAAATATTATCATATCCATGCTCCCTTTTGCCAGAAATTGGGCATGTTCAATAGTGATGTAACAGGTTATAAAGAGGATACATGTGTATGTATATGTATTTGTCCATCTATCTAAATACCTCCCGATTTGCATGTAAATATCATTATGACTTAGCATTCTATGGCTCAGAATATTTAACATGTAAGTCCACATTGCAACTGTTTGAAAGTCCCTTGTTATAACTTGGTTCTATGGCACTATGGTTCTATGATACTAAATTTGTCTAGGCATCCTAGATATATGGTAACTAGCCACAGAACAGGATACTTTAGGGGCAAACTAATCATTCCAGTTATCCTAATGACCACAGACAAACTAAATTTATTTATTTGTTTATTTTTTGTAAAAGTAGACTTATTTCAGCTTTAGACTTTGAACATCAGCACACACTGCAAAAACTAACTTTAAATCTTAGTAAGATATTCATTTTCCTTTGCTCAGGTCAAGACACTGTCATAAATATATTATGCTTGTCTATATAAATCACTGAAAATAATACATATGTTAGTTCATTTATGTTTCTTATAACCATGTGGGTTTTTTAGTAAGAAATGTGAGCAATTAAATAAAAAAGTCTACTATCAAGTTAGAAATCAAATGCTCTCTACAGATAATGTTTGACTACAGAGGAGTGTCAGGAACCTGTTTTAAGGTCATCAGTAGTTTTTAGGAGAAAACAGTGCTTGTTTTAAAAAACATCTCTGGAAGTTTATGAAAATTAATCTAGTAACACTTACTCTTGGACCAGCAGGACCAGGAAGACCAAATTCACCAGGAAGACCCTAGGCAAAACATGAGAATAAATAAGGCATGAAATTTATGTATGTTCTCTAAATCGACTTATGACTATATTTAGAAAAGTTTTTCAACAGTGAAATAAAGCCAGATCAGTTCTACGTACATGAGTGTGTAAGTACATGGGCTATGAGGAACAAGAGAACTTTCAGTGGTGTGTGGAAAGATACAAAAAGCAAGAATCCCATTCGTCAAAGCTACATCTGTCCTAGAACCTGGTATCAGGAAATTCAAGTTTCCCATTATTTAACTTATTGCTTTTAAAAAAGTGACCATACAGACTATCTCCTTTGATAATATGATAAGTAATGATGAATAATGTCAGGCATTGCCTATTTTTAGTTATGTAACAGACTGCTTTCATCATAAAAATGATCATATTATGCACATTATCTAGTTAATTGTACACCCAAGTGTATCTCCTTTATTACTGACCAGCTGTCTCCTTAATGTGCCCCACTGTTGACAGAGAAGACCAGGCCATATAATGTAACTGATCTGAGAAACATTCATCACAATTACAGAGAAAATGACTCAGGACTTGTGCCCTGATTGTGGATGGCAGTGTTGTATCTGAATGCCAAGAAAAACATTAAATGTGATTTGTCAGGGGCTAGTTTGATGGAAAATCAGTGCATTTACTTTTCACTGAGGGGAAGGACATAATTTGTATTTACCAAGAGCAATACAAAAAATAAGGCTATTAAATGGAATGTTCATTGATTTATTTTCCTTCCATGATGTGATGTTTCATTCAATCCTTAAAACAAAGTAATTTGAACAAAACTGAGGAACTTGGATCATTGTTTCCATCAGTACCAACATATGGGGAACACTATCATTAACATATGAAATATGAAGTTTCCTTTGTAAATATAATTGCACTGTAGTAGGGTATTAAACAGGGGAAAGTCCCAGCTTCAGGTGAATTTATAAAACTTGTTTTACTCACCCTTTCTCCTGGTTTGCCAAGTTCACCAGTTGTGCCTGAAGGGCCAGGCAGACCCTGCATGAAAAGAAATATCGGTCTCAATCTTATGGCTATATTCAGGGGAGTTGCTAATAATTGGGTTTTGGGGGGAACTGTGTAATATCAACATGATCGCTAACTACTGTGTGCTATTAAAGCAGTATACAAGTTTGCCTTGAAAAAAAATGTGCCCCTTTTTGCTTCAGTTCTGCAATCACGTTCTGGGTGGTGGGGGAGAGTGGTGTGGTGAGTTACCGCTGGACAGTCTGACCAAAGGCAGCATTCTGTGTGTTTAGACAACTTACCTGGAAGCCTGGGGGACCAGCGGGGCCTTGTTCACCTTTTCCGCCTTGGACACCCTGAAAGTGATAGGAAAGCCAGCATAAATACAGGTGTCTAGCGACCATTACTATCCCATGACCTAACTTTTGGACTAGAAAAAAGGAGATAGTCGTTTTGGGGGACCAGATTCCCTTCAGGGCAGAAAAGAACAAGAGTAGGAGAAATACTCACTTGTAGTCCAGGGGCTCCCTGAGCACCATTGTTTCCATCAGGACCTGGAGCACCCTAAAATGTTTAGCAGAAAGGCTCAGAGTTACCCCCGAGTCAGGCATTCTAAGATGCCTCAAAGCCTCAGACGTTACTTCGTCCAAGTAAAGCTTGTCGTTTTGGCATGCATTAAACTCATTGTGGGTCCCCTGCCAAGGCCCAAATACTGCCTCCTAACTTTTGATATGGCTCACAGAATGTCCACAGATGGAGGGCAATTTATGAAAGTCAGAGAATGAATTAAATAAAAACCAAATGCATCCATAAATATTTCTGACTTAATATATATTGTTTTGTTATAGCTCACTTCCTTACAAGTGTGGTTAAAACATAACAACAAAAACACATTTTGTAATGGTAAAAGAACCCTAGGGGATGCCATCTTGGAAAGAAAGTGACGGAATGATATCAGGTGACTTCACAGGAAGGGTTTTCTAGGTGAATACTACGTGGCTAGACCCGCACAGAAATGAATACTTACTCGAACACCAGCAAGACCAGCATGACCTTTCTCACCACTTTTTCCAGGCTCACCCTATAATAAACATTAAAAACAAACAAACAAACAAAACCTTACACATTTAATGTCAAGTTAACCATGACCAGTTTGAAATATTAATTTCTCGCTTTTTTAATTTTTATATTTTTAGATTCCTAGTCCTTAAATTCTGTTATCCGAGGTATGACCCATCATTATGCGGCTCCGGATACAGCAAGGTACCCCTGTGTCTGCACAAGCATGACTCAGGTGATGGGTTTTCAGAAGGTGTACAGTGATGCACTGGAGGCCAACTTTTAATGTGGTAAGTGGCTTGCAGTTTTCCAGTATTGAAAGCAACCCCCTCAAGGTAGAACGAAGTGAGGCAGGAGATAAATACTAGAATGTTGGTGGCAAAAAGTGCCAAAGGAGAGGAGGTTGTGGTGATTCTCACAGTGGGGCCTTTGGGTCCAGGGAATCCGATGTTGCCAGGTTCTCCTCTTGCTCCAGCTGGGCCGGTTGGTCCAGGCCTGCCGTCAATTCCAGGGAGGCCCTGAAACCAGAGTTTACTTAAACTTCACTCAGCATCAACAGAGTCTCACAACCCCAAGCTTGTGATGCTGCTACGGGATGAAATAATCATTTTCTGAATGCATAGAGCTTCCTGTATAAAGCGTCCATAAATTACGAATCCATTTTCCTTTTCTAATTAGGATGTTGGTACACACACAGCCAAGTCAATTTCATACGTACACAATTCTATTTTTTCTCTCTCATTCCATATCCTTGCCACCCTCTTCAATTTTCCCTGCCATGTTTTTCTTTTCCCTTCTCTCCTTTCAGTCCTGCGTTCATTTGGACTCCATAATTACAATCTATTACTTTGTGTTCCCAGATGATGTATGTGGCTGATATTTATTTTCAATGTGTTCATGTATAAATAAGCCAAAGAATATACTTTATAAGGCTGTAACAAGTGTCCTTGAAAACATACTGGAAAATGAGCAATACTTACCACAGGACCTTCTTTCCCAGCTGGGCCAACATTTCCAGGGGCACCAGGAAAACCCTATAAAGCAAATGAGGATGCTTTCATATTGGCACTTTCATGCACATACTGAGTTTCTAATTAATTGAAATCTCGCAAAAACACTTTTCCCCCAGTTTCTGTTTGTTGCCTAGGGTAAATCACTAGGGGTATTAGCCACTAGCCAGGAGGTATGAGAAGATCTCTGAAATATTTTTCTTTCTATTTTTTTATGCCTTTCCTTTTTACTCAATTTTAGTACAACTGATCTATTTGCAGGTATCTCAAGAAACTGTTAAGCAACTACTATATAGACAAAATGTATCATGGTATTTACTCATAATAGAAAAACAAATACTTTTAGTAAGCAATTTTCACAGTGGATTTATTTATTGCTGTATTTGGTGTCTTTATTACTTGTTTATGGTACAATTACCCTTGATATTCATCCATAAGAGATAATGGAGGCAAAAAAATTACTCTATTGCTATGGATTAGAGCGCCTACGGATCTAAAGGTCGTTTCTCCATAGCAAGTGTGATGCTGAATACATTATAGCACTTGGTGATTGCTGGAAAAATGATTTCACTTATGAATCTAATAAACTGATAATGTATAGTCCTAATATGTTCCATGAACACCTTATGTAAAACTCACAGATTGAGATAACAGATTCATGCTGATAGGAGAACCAGCTTAATTTGGATATATTAAAATAAATCAGTTCCTCCAAAAACTTTATAGCCATTGTATCAAATAATAAATAGGAAATTTATGAACTAGCCAAATTTGTAAAAATATCTACTGGGCTTTGATGAAGTTCAATTAAAAAGACAACCATTGGCAAGTCTACTAACAAATTTACTTTTGATTTTTTTTTATTGTCATCGTCAAATATTAATCATCCCTTTAAAAAAGGAAACAGTGCCATGTGTGACTTGCTCAGAATCAATCTGAAACTTACTCGGGGTCCCATGAGGCCAGGCTCTCCAGGGCGACCAGAGTCTCCATTGGGACCTCGGACGCCAGCAGGGCCAGTTGCACCACGAGGACCAGCAGGACCCTGTTAAAAAGAAGAGGGAAAGGAGGATGCTAAAGTGAATGACACACTCACCACCGGAAGCATCAAGATCTCTCCAAGGAAAGGAGGAATAGACACCTTACCATGACACCAGCTCTGCCATCAGCTCCAGGAAGACCACGGGAACCAGGATTTCCCTGTAATAAAGTACATAAACAGAAGAGAATTGGAGAAGATCCTTGAATTGCAAAGGGCAGAGTTTACTGAACCATGGCATTCTGCAAGAAATCTTGATCCTCTTAAGGTGGAGATACGAACACAAACCAAACCAAAAAACTTTACCCAAACCCCAACGGAATGCATGGAGGAGACATCTTGCAAAAGTAGGTCAGTATTGTTTCCAGACCAATTTTATAACATATCAAAAGCCCTAATTTAATAAAGCAGATGGAAAGCAGATGCTTCTTTCATCTAGAAAATGCACTCAATAATTCTGACCAATTCCCAATGAAGGGGTGTCATCATCTGCCTCTGGTGTGTCTGGGTGTCAAGAATATTTGAAACCTACTCTCAGCCCAGCAGGTCCTGGGGCGCCAGAGGGTCCAGCTTCACCAGTGGTGCCTCTCTTTCCTTCTTCACCACTGGGACCAGGAGGACCTTGGGCTCCAGCAGAACCCTGTTTAATGAAAAAAACAAAAGAGGGGGGAACAGGAAAAATAATTTTCATGTCATGTCCAGCTAGAGAAACAGTAATAACTTTTTAAAAATGTAAAGGTGTTATTTTTTCATTGAAAAGGTAATAACTTCATAAAATTGTGATTATACAACTACTTACAGGCTCACCCTTGTTACCACTCTCCCCTTTGGAACCAGCTGGACCAGGCTCACCCTAGAGTCAAATACAAAACAGTTGTCAGATGACAAACATTTGTCACAACTCTTGCAGACAAACATCTCAGAATGTTTATAGGTCAAGGTAAAGAAAAACGCAAGCTCTCTAAGAAATATGCCCAGTTCATATATAAACAGCTTATAGGGGGAATGGTCTTGACTGAAAGAACAAGACTGATCTTATAGAAATGAGCCTCACTGACCTTTGGGTAATGTTTTCAGATTGCAGGAGACTGTCTGTGTGTGTGTGTGCGAGAGAGGGAGAGACATGTACATGCACTTATAGAAGAAATACAAACTAGAAATGCTAAGGAAGGGGGAAAAAAGAATAAAAAAGTGCAAGAGGAAGCGTAGACAGTGATGCAATAATGATAGACGTGATGTTTCAGGATGACGAAAGTTGCAGCCGTGACTACTTACAACAAGTCCTCTGGCACCAGTAGCACCAACAGCACCAGCAGGGCCAGGAATACCACGAGGTCCAGGGAGGCCAGGAGCCCCAGCAACACCGGGCAGGCCCTGGGAAGGAAAATGCAGCCTGGTCAGTCATAAGGCCGCTGATAGGAGAGGCAGCACTCATGAAAATGCCTTTAAAACCACAGCAGCATATTTGAGCCACTCCCACTACATACTCACAGCAGCACCCTTGGCACCAGTAAGGCCATTGGCTCCAGGGTTACCCTACGAGGAATAGGAAGGGAGAAAGATATCAGTTAATAGGAATATTCCTCTGCTTCCTTGACTTCATCATCATTCCTTTTTTTCCCCCTTTCACTCAGTAATGTTCATGACAACAGCTACTTACAGGAGGTCCAACGGGGCCAGAAAGACCTGGAAGACCAGCTTCACCACGGGGACCCGCGGGACCAGCAGGACCAGGGTTACCAACAGGTCCAATTTCACCCTAAAAGAGGGAATGACACTGGGGCATTAGCCAACAAGTCATGAAACAGCACATCTCCAGGTTTAGGACACCCATTTTATGAAATGTCTTCAGAACTGCAATCATTTTCCTTATCTGGTCTGGTACCACAAGATTTGAGTGTGGGTTCCTATCTTCCTGGCCAGGTTCTGCCATCTGGCTACCAGTGCTACCTTCACCTACCTCTGTCTCCCTGGGGTAGAGACTAATCAGTCCCAACTAGCTTGGGAGTGCATCCCAGAAGAGCCCCATGGAATCAGTTTCCATGTTGTCATCTATATGTGTGCTCCTAGGGCTCAAGTGAAGAGAGATGACCTATTTCAAGCTGGGAGTGAGAAAACTGGTCATTCTATATCCATTCTGAAGGAGGGACTAATTAAGGTACCTGTTCTATAATTATCTCTCTATCAGCAAACACAGCCCCTGTCTTTCTCATCACTATAAAAAGTTTATCAAGGTAATTACAATAGTCACCAGCTGTTTACCTTGGGGCCAGGGGCACCAGGGAAGCCTGGAGGGCCAGCAGACCCAATGGGACCCTGAAATCAAAGTAGAAGGTGTAAGACATTTCCTCCTAGTCAATTAACAACACAACAACAACAGAAGATTGAATTGGCTTGATCTTATTTAATATTGGCAAAGAAAAAGCTGACAGCTAGTCTGTTGTCAGTAGTATCTTATCAAAGGGAAGACATTCAGAGTACCCCAGGTAGATTTTACTTTATATATCAATCAACACCTCAGGGATTGTATAAATAGGACCTGCAACAGACCCCACAGAATAATTGGTAAGGTGTCTACAATTGTGTTATTCCATAGGAAATTAATAAAGAAGATCGCTTCCATCCCACACTCTTAACTCCTTCCAAATTCTCCAGTGTCAAAACTTACAGCAGGACCCACAGGACCCACACTTCCATCACTTCCACGGGCACCCTATGAAGAAAATAAAGAGGAAAAAGTCAAGTGGAAAGTTAAATGGCAATTATTAGATTTTTCGAAAAAATAAAAACGAACAAAAGTGGAAGCACTCACAGCTGGGCCAGGGCCACCAACACGTCCTCGCTCTCCAGGAAGCCCACGGGCTCCCTAAAAGCAGAAATATTTTCAATGAAATCCTGAATGCTAATCTTTAAAAAGTCACAGGCATCATTTGCTTTGTTCAATTTCCAACATGCACAAGAATCCGCTACAAATAAATAGGTCTTGTTCTAATTCCAACTAAAAGATAATGGATTTCAATTAAGTGTACAAGGCTAGTAGAAAAATATCAAAGAATACAATGCTGAGGGAACTAGTAATTAGCAGAAACATTGAAGAAGTTCCAGCTTGCAAAGAGTGTACAGCTTTAGATTTATAATAATCAGTACTTACTGTTTGACCTGGAGTTCCATTTTCACCAGGGGCACCAGGTTCACCCTACATGGAAAAGGATTGAAAATATATGTATAGATTATGTTTTCTGATTGGGTAATATTTACCCTATTTTGCATTTGAATCATTCATATATTTTGTAACATTTCTTACACATATAGATTATTTCTCAATTATTCCAAACACATAAATTTTAAAAATTTCTAAAATATGGGTTTTCCTTTGGATAATACCAAATACGGTACTAGGGAGATGTGGTTAATTGAGTGTTACCCCTTTCCTAATTTTCACCTTAGATTTTGGATATCATTTAGATTAGCCTTATAAATTAGGAAACATACCATAAAAAGAGATGTCAGAACATAAATTTGCTTCCAATATTACCATATTTACCCTCTTTAGAGTTATTTTGAACACTCAATATTTTTATTTTTGTAAAATATGCATGAAAATTTGAACTTCATAATATTTTTAGGGCTGTCTTATTTATTTCCAATCTATATTCTTATCTGAAGTAGTGGTGGTAGTGGTGGGGTAATTTGATACAATGTCACATGTAAAAAGAACTTTCCTTTAAGATTATCTGATTTAGATATGGAAAAAACAGAGTTTAAGAGACCAGTTAAAGAACCTTTATTTCTAGGATTCTATGAGATATGTATCCTTTGGGGATAACTACTGGAGAGGGAGTTAGGAATTCTAGCCTATGTGCTTCTAGCTACCAGATGTGTGACTTTGGGCAAGTCACTCACTTCCTCTAAGCCCCCGTTTCCCTCCTCTGCAAAATGAGGGAGTCTCCAAAGCTCCTTGCAAGCTTTAACGTTTTATGATGCTGCGATTAGTAGTCTGAGCTACTATATTAGGCTCTAGAGAGAATGAGTTTGACCTTATCCATTTGTGTGGCAGTTGGAAAGTTAGAACAGATTCTCCATATTCATGTTCATTTTTGGTCCCACTAGTATTCGTTACTCATTAATTTGTAATTACGTTGGTATTCACTTTAATATCACATTATCTTCTTAATAGGAGAGTGAGCATTTTATAGTTGAAAACGCTGTCAGAGAAGAGCCTAGCCCAGAGATAACACACTTCTGAGACTTTAATTACCTAATTAAAATTTTTTTGAGTGTTCACAGATAAATCACAGGAAAAAGGTTGAAAAATGTATTGTGACATGAATGTACCTATCTAATTAGTGCATGCCAAAGGAGAATTAACAGTTTAGAATAGCATATCGTGCTCTAATGTCTGAGTATGTTTATTTACTTTTATTTTTGCTGCAGAGATCAACTGAAATTATAGGCAGAAAGGAAATGGAGGAAGGAACTATTGACATTTTAAAAAATCTTAGTTGTGTAAAAGATATTAATTAAACAAATATGATCAATAATTGGCCTTTTGTCACAGAATTCCGTAATCCCCCCCCCACCATTGAAGGATTAACTACTATTTAATTAAAATAGAAGAGGAAATAGAATATTCTCTAGAATATGAGTAGGTTTCAGTCAACATATACTTTCTAGTGGTGATGGGGAATTACAGTCAATTGTTTTAAAAATGCTTCTGATTTCGTATTTACCTTTATACCTGGAGCACCGGGCTGTCCCTTCAATCCATCCAGACCATTGTGTCCCTGAAAGGCAAATCCTTACCATTAAAATGATATCCCATTATAGTGCTTGGTCACATCCAACATCCTCTGTCTTTGTAGTCACTGTCTCTTGGGTGAGCCTTGTGACCCCTGCAGTGGAACACAGCCCGAGTGCCCCAGCCCCTGGAAAACTCCCTCCGCTGCC